CAAAAAAACAAATACTGCATATGCTCACTTATAAGTAGGAGCTAAATATTGCATACGCAGGGACACAAAGATGGAAACAATAAACACTGGATATTGTTAAAGTGGGGGAGGGTGGTGGGAAGTAAAGTTTGAAAAACTACCTATGATGTACTATGTTCACTACTTAGGTGAAGGAAACATTAGAAGACCAAACTTCAGCAGCATGCAATACACCCATGTAACAAACCTGCACAGGTAGCCCCTAAATCTAAAACAAAATTTTACAAAATGCAACATTAATGTTCAATGTAACATTTAAACTTAAAAAAGAAAATCTACATAATTACTTTTTTCACCTAAGTTACAATGGCAGACTGGAAGAATGTATGAATCACTGCTACTGTTCTTTCCTTTACAGTGTATAAAGTGTGTATAGATATAGATACATCAGCTCTCTCCCCAGGGGAAATGAAATGGCTGCTCACTCAGATAGTGCAGAAAGATACAGGAACTGAAACCCAACACTCCCCGAGACCTCAAAGTAAAACAGTATGACAGAGTACACCAGGATTTTGAATGAATTTCTTAAGTAAAAATAAAGTGAGCAAAAAGGAACACTGCCATCTAAAGTTCTGGGGTGGAAGTGCTGGGATGAGAACACAAGGAAAGTCAATATTAATGTCCCCTTCCCCCTGAACTAATTTAGGAAGCAGCCGCGTTGGGTGTAGCACTACATATGAAAGGCCAATGTGTTAAGGGAAAATTAAAAATTATCTGAGTGCCTATTTTTAATATAATAACCTGAAATAGCTTCTCTCCAAACCTAGGCCTCAGAAACTGGACTTGTTACACTTTGTATCATGCTTGTTGCCCGTTTAGTGTCATAGCATAGATGTTCAGTAGATGTAAATTGAATAGAATTGAATTCAGTCAACAAAATGACTTACTACAAAAGCAGTCAGTAAAAGTAAATAGAGGCGTCTCCAACACTTAAGTTGTAATATTTACTTTTGGAGCCACTAAAATCTAATGAATTATACACAATAAGAGTTTGATATTTCTTAACTCCTTGGACATCCATCTCCTGCCTCCACAGAAAAAAAATCTCTTCAACCAGGGGTCAGTAAACTATGACCCAATTCTGTCCACTGAATATTTTTAATCAATAAAGTCTTATGGGAACACAGTCTTACCCACTGGTTTATGTATTGTTTAGAGCTGTGTTTGCAGAGTAACAGCAGAGTTGAGTAGTTGCTGCGGAGACCATCTGGCTGTAGAAACTAAAACATTTACTATCTGGAAAATGATTCAATTCAATATTTACAATCTGACCCTTTCAGAAAATGTTCACAGATCTCTGCCTTAAAGTACACATGTGATTCTGAGTTAAAGACAATGTATTAATATTATTGACAATAATAAAAACAAGTTTTACAAAATGAATCACTCTAACCTCTGCAATTAACAATAAAACTCAAGTAAAGGTACATAGAGAAACACACAATAAAAATGAAAACCCTGCTTGGCCTGGCATTAATTCCTGTTGCTTCCAAGAACAAAATTTCTTATTTGAAAAAAAAAACAAAACAAAACTGCAGTTAATGCTATCAGATAAGTTCATCACTAAAAGAAGATTGTGTCAAATGCTCTATAGGTACGAAAACTATTTTGCAGTTCTGATTTTTTCATTGACTTTGAAAAAGTAATTTATTCATAAACTGCTTTAAACAAAGACCCCACTGATTACTGAGTTCAAACTGACCTGACCAGTTTACTTTCATCCAGCTTCTTATGTCTCATAAAGTTGTTTTTAAAAATTTCTGCTAAAACTACTACCTGAAGCACCACTAACAATATCATTTTGTCATAAAATTAAGGTTATTTCCCATAGGGGAAATAAAAAACTTGGTTCATTTTTCATTCCCATTTCACATGATTTATTTTTACATATTTTTAGCATTTTGAAATTTTTCCAAATTATCTGGCTGAAGTTGAACCCCAGGAGTCTTTTCAAACCATGTTGAGATTGTTCTAAATGAATTTAAAAGCTAAATATCAACTTCAAATATCTACTAGAAATAAAAATAATTTGATAGTGCCATTAAAGAGAGAATTAAATAATTCCTAAATTGATATACTTCACAAAAATCACAATCACTGAATTATAAGTGGAAACACAGTAATGAAAACATAAACACGCTTTTCCAACAGAATAATTGTGTAGAAAAGCTGATTTCAATAATGTAATAAAATTTCATTGTGAAATATTCATAATTTTGGTACATTTTTACCTGATGGGAAGTTGGGGCTTGGGAATTGAATGATTCTATAAAATTATTGGTGATCCACATTGGTATCTGTCACCTAGTGACAGTTACAAGCTGAATTCACAGATTTTACTGGCATTTTAGTATTTTACCAGTCTGCTTGCAATCTAATTAGCATATGTTGAGACTTTCACCATTTATGACTGAATAAACTCTTACTTTTACATAATTTCTAGCTATCTGTGAATAGCAGACCACATAATGCTATGCAGCAAATTAAATTTTAGATTGGTGTGTGTGTATGTGTGTGTGTGTGTGTATGCTTCACATCTCTTGCCTTAATGTTTCAGTTTTAAGAAAAGTAGAGTTTTTTTTTTGGTGTTACATATCTTCAAATGGTCTTTAGTATTCCCTGTCCCCATCCTTTGCCAAGGTTTCCTGACACTGGTAGAATCATATTTTTTTCTTCATAAGTTTTTTTAAAACTCATCACTTAAAAAAAAAATCTTTGTGAGGGCCATAGTATTATGCAACTCTGGAATTGTTAAATTCACTCAATAGTCATTTCATTCACGCACATTTTCTTGGTTCTTGCTATATGCAAAGAAAATCAGACACCTCAGTGTCTTTCATATCTTCTTCCTTTTCTTCCCCACAACTATGTCTTAGTGGCTTTGAATTGTCAACAGAGACACAAAGTATCTTTAAGACTGTTTCCTTCCATTAGGAAATCATTCTTCAGATATGCAGTTATTTAGATCCTCTTAATATACTGCCACTCTTCAAGAACTCTATCACCAATCATATAAACCCAAACTGCTTCACCTTCTTTTCATATGAGCTTGTACAATTTGAGTTTACCTTACCTATGCAGGCATATTTTCCACGAGTCTCTGACATACAACCACAGTAGCATGGTACAGAGTTTAACAGCTAATAAGCTGTGGGTTTTGCCACAAATAAGTTACTGCTGTGCCAAGATATTGATTCCTGTCAGCTTAGAGAGCAATTTTGAGGTCTTGGTGTGTTGTCCGTTCACCCTGGTTGACTCACAAATGTTATCATGTTTTGCATGTTTTAAAAAATGTTGGGAGACACTGGTGTGGCTATTGAAAATACAATTAGCATTATATTTGTTGTTCCGCCCATCTATACGTGTTAAATTACTTAATCTCTGTGTTTCAAGTTCATCATCAGTAAAATGGGAGAATAGTGATCACAGACTGTTAGTAAGAATTAAAGTAAATGATCAATTAAGTGATAATTATTAATAATCAATTATTTCATATGATTATTAAGTGTTGTCATTTAATTGATCACTTAATTTAATCCTTATTAATAGTCTATGACCACTCTTGTCCCATTTTATAGCATAATAGTCTACTAAAAGCAGTCTTTTTTAAAATTAATGGTCAGATGATTATTTCCTGAGTGTATTGCATTCTCTATATTAAAGTCTGTCTCTGAGAATTTCCTCAAGTATGTTCTTCATACCTTTGATATTTTCCCTCCTTTAATAACACCTCATCTAAATTAAGACTCATCTAAATTTCAGACTCACATCCCTAATTAAACAGCCCCTAGTTTTTCCTTCTCTATAATGCTCTCTCCTATTTCTTGAGCTGCCATTGCTCTTAAAGCATATACCACACATATAAACAGTCTCTGTTGTTTGTTAACTGTTTCATTCATGCAAGTTCTGGAATTATGAGCTGAATAAATTCATGTTTAATAATTTTGTGGAGGCAGGATCTTTCTGTGGATTTGTATTGATATTCAGAGTAATTTAAGTTATGAGAATGTTAAGAAGTCAGGATAAAGATGGCAAAGCACTAGACCATAATGGACTGGCTTTCATTAAGCTTCTATTTAAACATTTACAGAACATAGACCAAAAAAAGCCAGCTTAGTCAGAGGATATGGCAATTCTCAGAAGTTGTTACCAATGACCAGTGTTTTGTTTATGTTTGGGGAAAATTCACTTATAGTGAAAGTGAGAAATATGTGATCCTTTTATATACCATGAACCCTTTAATTTGCATTTAAGGAACTAAACTGAGGTGTAACAATTTTATACCCTATCTGAGCAACAGAGGAAGTCAAGCAAACTGATCTGCAGTAGAAAGGAGAAGTAACATACTTCATAAACAGAGAACAAGATGGACAGTAGTTAATATCATTCCGACTAACAGCTGTTTCCAGCTACTCTTACTGACATGGAGCCAGCATGCATTTTTGTACTTAAAACAAAAAGGTATTATAAGCCAGATTTCTAAGGTTTCCTTAACAAAAATGAAGATAGATATCCTAGGCCATCATTCAGCCTGAGATTTAAAATACCTTGAAAACTCAAGTTAAAAATACATTTATGATATAAGAATAAAAATATTTTACTAACAGATAATATTATTTTTGTAATCATAAGTTTCATCATTCTGAATATGTACTCTTTTTTTACATCTGCAGATGAGTGACAGTTCTTCATACATATGAGATTTTTAAAAAGTGTTTTGTTTTCTCAAAGGAATATTTTCAACTCAAAAAAGCTGCTACATAGCATGACTTCCTGAGTTTAATTTCATGCCCTAATTTGTCACCATTGACTTGGTCAAAACCTCAGACCATCTGCACAGAGCTGTAGGGAATGATCAACAACAAAGACAATGACATGGCAATGTCCCTAGCTTTCCTAACTATTTCTGGAGCTGATCCAAGAGTCGCAAGTAATCAGCCACATTTTTTTTCCCCCACCAGACATCACAGTGATGGAAAACAGCGGAGAAGAAGATAATGATCACCTTGCTTGGTCAATAATGAAAGCAGAGGAGGCCAAGTCTTATTTGAATTCATAGACATTGAATTCTGAAATGGATTGGGAAGGTGCTATTGGAATTGCTTCCCCTGGGTGTCTCATCCCCTCTGGAGATGGTTCGATGCCACTGATACTAGGATTTTAAATTCTGCTTGGGACTGAGGATTCCCACTGAGATTCTATTCTCATCTAGCCTAGTGGTTCAGTCTTATAGTGGGCCAGAGGCTCTTTGAAGACTTTCTGAGAGGTCTCCATGGGCTCTTGAAATACATTAGATTCCCCCATTCCCTCTATTGACGTGTGTAGCCCTAGGAGTCCCAGTCAGTGTATCTAGCAATAGAATAGATCTTTCTTATTTATCTCAAGATCAGTTCAGACTGTCCAAATCCTCCAAATCAGGAGAAATTAAAAGCTAGATTGTGTCTTTTAGGATAATCCCTTCCCTGTTAACCATCGCTTTACTGCCCTCTCTATACTCATTGGTTAGCTCAGAGGACCATGTATTTCTGCATAAAGGAAATGAGTTTCCCCAGTGCCATTTATCTTTCCAGATCCTACCTTACTATTTTGATGACTTGTAGATAAGTAAATAGATAATATATATTGAATGAATATCCGAAGGTTATGATTTTCTCTACATTTGCATATGTCATAAATATTCATTTTATATCAGCTTTGAGATCTTTTGAGGTATATTTGTAAGACTGACAAAATTAAACTAGAGATATTTCTAAGCAAGTGTGCTTAAAGTTATTAGGCTAAATTTTTGTTAGCTGCATACGTTGAAGTAAAATGGCAAACAAAGGGACAGATAATAAAAACTCATTTGGCTTTAATATGTAGATATAATCAAAGAAATATATGTGGTCAGATACAGAAGAAGGCTTTCATATATATATAATAACAGAGCTATCAGAAAAATTATGCAATTATAACCTTTTACTCTTTTTATTTTCTGCATGTGGCAGAAATTCTTAATTCAAACTGATTTTCTGATCTTTTTTTCTTTTGTGATGGCTAAGTCTTTGAATTTTTGTAAGCTCATCCTCAACCATGACTTCCTTTCAATTTTGTCCACTCATTAATCTTATCTGGCTGAGCATTACATCAAAGAAAGTCTCAAGTTGCCATGGATAATTGACAAAGCAGGCACTTTATTTACAGATAACCAAAAATGCATTGAATTAGAATTATGCCTTTGCATATGAATTCTTCTACAAAGGCAAGTAAGTGAAAAACACTGATGTTTTACAGCAGTTCCAACCACATTGAGTGAAGAATGATCAATTTTTATTCATTTATTCACTCATTCATTCATTCAGTTAACAAATAATTTGTTGCATATGTATATATGCAAGGTTTTATAAGGTTCTATGATAAATATAAAGATGAATTAGTTTCAGTCTTTTTCCTTTAAGAAGTTTATACTATGACAGTTTATGCATCAGACAACTGCAAAATTAGGCAGGATGCATTTAAAATGGGATGTGTGCCATATCAAGTGCTGTTATATGCAAAGGAGAGAAAGATCATCTCAGATCTGGGGTCAGGGGAGGGTGGTTAAAGTTTAATGGAAGGTGTGGCATGGGAATTGGAATTGAATTCAGGGTAGAATCATGGCAGATGGAGAAGGATGTTGGTAGAATACACTAGGCATAGAAGATGTTTTCAGCCAACGCTTAGAAGTAGGATTGACTGGGTAATTTGGTAACATTATGTGGCCAAGTATGAAAAGAACATGAAAGTTCTTACTCCAACTAAATACAATATTTAGTACATATTTCATATATTTATTTATTATATACAATGGATACCACATTATTATATAATAATATAATTAATAATACAATTTTAATAGTGAGATATCATGCTGAAAAATAAAGATTACACAGAGTCTTGTATTTCCCTCAGCCAGTGCCAACACACACACACACAAACACACACACAAACTAACTTTAATTGTATTTGCTTGGAGTAGGAACCTAACACACAATTTGAATAAAAAATTAAGATTACATTTAAAAAATGGGCAAAGGAACTGAAAAGACATTTCTCTAAAGAAGACATACAAATGGTCAACAGTTATATGGAAAGGTGTTCAAAATCACTAATCATCAGAGAAATGCAAATCAGAGTCACAGTGAAATGTCACCTCACACCCATCAGAATGGCTATCATCAAAACACACACACACACACACACACCCAAACCCAAACAAGATAAATGCTCCTGAGAATGTGGAGAAGTTGGAACCCTTGGACACTGTTAGGAATAAAAACGTGCAGAAGCTCTTTAGTTTAATTAGATCCCATTTGTCAATTTTGGCTTTTGCTGCAAAGAAACTACCATCAGAGTCAACAGGCAACCTACAGAATGGGAGAAAATTTTTGCAATCTACTCATCTGACAAAGGGCTAATATCCAGAACCTACAAAGAACTCAAACAAATTTACAAGAAAAAAACAAACAACCCCATCAAAAAGTGGGCAAAGGATATGAACAGACATTTCTCAAAAGAAGACATTCATACAGCCAACAGACACATGAAAAAATGCTCATCATCACTGGCCATCAGAGAAATGCAAATCAAAACCACAATGACATACCATCTCACACCCGTTAGAATGGCGATCATTAAAAAGTCAGGAAACAACAGGTGCTGGAGAGGATGTGGAGAAATAGGAACACCTTTACACTGTTGGTGGGATTGTAAACTAGTTCAACCATTATGGAAAACAGTATGGCGATTCCTCAAGGATCTAGAACTAGATGTACCATATGACCCAGCCATCCCATTACTGGGTATATACCCAAAGGATTATAAATCATGCTGCTATAAAGACACATGCACACGTATGTTTATTGCGGCACTATTCACAATAGCAAAGACTTGGAATCAACCCAAATGTCCATCAGTTACAGACTGGATTAAGAAAATGTGGCACATATACACCATGGAATACTATGCAGCCATAAAAAAGGATGAGTTTGTGTCCTTTGTAGGGACATGGATGCAGCTGGAAACCATCATTCTCAGCAAACTATCACAAGAACAGAAAACCAAACACCGCATGTTCTCACTCATAGATGGGAACTGAACAATGAGATCACTTGGACTCGGGAAGGGGAACATCACACACTGGGGCCTATCATGGGGAGGGGGGAGAGGGGAGGGATTGCATTGGGAGTTATACCTGATGTAAATGACGAGTTGATGGGTGCTGACGAGTTGATGGGTGCAGCACACCAACATGGCACAAGTATACATATGTAACAAACCTGCACATTATGCACATGTACCCTAGAACTTAAAGTATAATAAATAAATAAATAAATAAAAAAATAAATAAATAAATAAAAGGAATAAAAACGGTGCAGTTGCTATGGAAAACAGCATGGAGGTTTTTCAAAGAATTAAAAATAGAAATACCATATGAGCAAGCAATCCCACTTCTAAGTATACAGAAGAATTGAAATCAGGACCTCAGATAGGTATCTGAACTCCCATGTTCATTGCAGCATTATTGACAAGAGTGAAGCTATGGAAACAACCTAAATGTCCATCAATTTATCAATAGAGAAAGAAAATGTGGTATAAGCCGGGCGAGTGATTCATGCCTGTAAACTCAGCGTTTTGGAAGGCCGAGGCAGGAGGATTGCTTGACCTCAGTTTGAGACCAACCTGGGTAACACAGTGAGACCCTGTCCTCACTAAAAGTAAAAAATAAAATAAAATTAGTGGAGTGTGGTGTCATATGCCTGTAGTCCCAGCTACTTGGGAGGCCGAGGCAGGAAGGTTGCCTAAGCCCGAAAGATTGCAGTTGCAGTGAGCTTTGATCATGCCACTGCACTCCATCCTGGGCAACATAGTAAGACCCTGTCTCCAAAAAATGTGGTATATATACACAATGAAATATTATTCAGCCTTAAATAAAGAAGGAAATACTGCCATTTGCTACAGGATTGGCTGTTCATTGGATGAAACTTGAGGAAATTATGCTAAATGAAATAAACCACTCACAGAAGGATAAATATCACATAATACAACTTATATGAAATGTATAAAATAGTCAAACACAAAGAAACAGGGAGTAGAATAGTGGCTGCCAAAGGCTGGGGAGAGGGGAAAATGGGAAGTTGTTATTCCATGGGAGTAATTTTTGATTACGCAAGATGATGATTCAGTTCTAGAGATCTGCTGTACAACACTGTGCCTATAGCTAACAGTAAATACCGTACTCCACACTTAAATTTATTAAAAGGGTAAATCTCCTGTTAAGTGTTTTTTTAACCACAATAAAGATAAATAAAGTATTTGCCCATAAAAAGTAAAATTATTAGAAGGATTAATTTGGCATGTTAGATTAGAAAGAAAAGGGAAAACAGGGAGAGACTATTACAATAGTCAAAGTCAATAACAATGAGAACAAAAGCTAGTGTCATAGTGTGAGAATGAAACGGAAAAAGAGAACAGATATTTTATAAACTTAGAGTTGGTAGAACTTAGGCATCAATTTGGGAAAAGGAAAGGGGACGAGCTATGGAGGAAGAGAGCAAAGGATGGACCAAGCTGACTTTAGGCTTTCAATTAAGCTCCTGGGGATAGATGCTCAAGAGTCATCTATTGGCTGGGTGCTGATGGCTCACACCTGAAATCTCAGCACTTTGGGAGGCCGAGGTAGGGAGATCACAAGGTCAAGAGATTAAGACCAGCCTGGCCAACACTGTGAAACCCCATCTCTACTAAAAATACAAAAATTAGCCAGGAGAGGTGGCACGTGCCTGTAATCCCAGCTGCTCGGGAGGCTGAGGCAGGAGAATCACTTGAACCCAGGAGGCGGAGGTTGCAGGGAGCTGAAATTGCATGACTGCACTCCAGCCTGGGTGACAGTGTGAGACTCTGTTTCAAAAAAAAAAAAAAAAAAAAAAAAAAAAAAAAAAAAAAAAAAAAAAGAAAAGTCATCTATTTACAGGGCCTCTGAGCATTTGTTTGCCCCCACAATTACCACTTGAAAACAATCATGCTCATAATTTGATTTTTGACTTAGTTACTCAGCGTGGAGACAGTAGTCTTGAAAAGAATAAGGAAGTAGTCCAGACTTTCTCAGAGCTGCTACTCTGTTGGGTTTGAGATAGTTCAATGAATGATCATATTTAAAAGATATTTCTCAAAATAGCAGTAAAATTACAAACATATAATTTGTTAGGTTGGTGCAAAAATAATTGCAGTTTTGCCATTACTTTTGCACCAATCTAATAAAATGTGGTTCCTTCCTCTTTCTAATTTACATTTTCCCAGTGTGTAGGGAATCCAGAATGATTCTGACATAACTTAATTACCCCAATTATTATTATTATTATTTGAGATGGAGTCTTGCTCTGTCGCCTAGGCTGGAGTACAGTGGTGCAATCTCGGCTCACTGCAATCTCTGCCTCCTGGGTTCAAAGGATTCTCCTGTCTCAGTTTCCGGAGTAGCTGGGATTACAGGTATGCACCACCAGACCCGGGTAATTTTTGTATTTTCTTTGTAGAGATGGGGTTTCACCATGTTGGCCAGGCTGGTCTCAAACTCTTGACCTCAGGTGATTCGCCCTTCTTGGCTTTCCAAAGCGCCGGTATTAGAGGCATAAGCCACCACGCCTGGCCCTTCCCAATTATTTACCTTTCAAATAGGACAAAATATAATTTTCTGGAACCAAATGAAAATGCCTTACAAAAATAAAATTACAAAAGC